CCAACTATGCTGTTCACGTACTATATAAACGATTCCACGAATAGTTTTCAATAGATGTCGTTCATTTATTGCTCAACGTGGACATCGTACCGTACATATAGTTAACAAGCAGCAATAATAGTTTATAAAGCAAATTTAACTATATAATCCTTTAAAATCGGTTACTGAAGAAAATCCAAATTTAGCGATACAGCTCGCACCCCTGTAGGGGAAATTCACTTCATCCCAGATACCACACGTGATCAAAAGGATGTGACGCTGGACTCTTTCTGGGTTGCGAGCCCCCCCCCCCCTAGGTGACTTGTACATCGGGGTTTGTCCATCAAAATTTTCATACCTTATATCTAGTCTTTAATATAACAGCTGTATAAGGACGTTGTACGCGGGTTAAAATTCAAAGCTTGTGATATATAAGAACAGCTATTAAACTTGCAACGGGTATTTATCCCTGGCAGCAAATTTCACGTCAAGAAAAAAGGCTAGGATATAGACAAATCAATGTCAATCTATGTGACGATGATTTCTAATATTATTCTATTGTGTTGATATCTTACTCAATGTTAGACTCTTCGATTACTTTAAAAAGAAGTAGACACTCTCTTATGGTTAAATAAATTGTTCACGTTTATCACTTTTTTCTGTATACTTTACACTTGGGCATAATATAGTTTACAAGAAAACCAAAGAATGAGCGCGTTTCCGTTTACCTGAGCATTGGAGCCTGTACAGTCCTGACAATTTAGAAAAAAACCAATATAATAATTATTCTTCACAAAAACGGTAAAACTAAACTAATCTTTTACTACTATTAGGAGTATAGTATATGTATGTATGTTTCTTCAACTTGGATTCCGTGCGTAAAACGGTACCAGCTTACATGTTCTTTACTCCAGCAGTTAGCAACAGATTCGGGCTAGTCTAAAGTCTTGGTGTCACCACAACAGACTCGTACTTCGTTTGGATGAGTATGTACACGAAGTATTATATATTACTCGTCTGAAGGAGAGAGAGTTTTAATATGGAACATTACAAAGATTGTTAGTAACTGCGCTCACATACAAAACCATCCCTTTTAGGGTTGTAGAGGTACTTGAATATTGTACAAGAACACGTATTGATTTAAAATTCTTGCATAGTCGCACCAAATGATTTGCAGTTGGAGGTCTTGCCAGCGCTATGGATTTAAACTCATACCTTTAAGAATTGTGACACTTTAGTTACGTTATAATGGTAATGGTAAGATTAGTTAGACCTAACTGCTATAACGTCCTATTATAGACCTAGGCAGAATTTATGTGATGGTATCGATAAAGAACTTCCGTACAGGTACAAGTTCGACATTGGATATGGCAGGTAAATTCATATTTGAAAATATTTCTCTAACTATTTATGTTACTTTCAATTGCCTTGGTATATTAATATTTTTTATAAAAGCTCTTGCACGCATGGAATAATTTTTTTTCTTTACATGAGACAGTGTTTATAAATGTGTGGAAAAGGTTGAAAGTACTCTTGATTGCTGATAAAAATTGGGAGTTCTAACAGACAGACGAAAATTTTGCTAGGCTCTTCTTTTTTTATTGTATATTTAGTAGGGTATTTGAACATTAGGCGATGCAATCTATTAGCTGAAATTACGAGAGACGATCACTCTTTGAAAAATACATTTAAACTCGTTAAAAAAACCTGATCATGTAGTTTTTGTACCCAGATATTCGTGCAATTTTCATCCGTGTTTTTCTATTGTCCTAGTTTAGACTTGAGTGGTTGCTTAGGTGTCATAGTGCACGAAATTCATCTAACCATCATGCCAATCAATGGTAGCTTAACAACCATTCGTCTTGTTGGTGCTGTGTTAACAATCTCACGATTCTCCAGCATCTTCTTGAGATGGTATTTATATGTCTCAAGCTGGATCTCACAAATGAGTTGGTTAACTAATTTGCGTGTCACAACTTTTCACAACAAAATTTTTCCTCATAAGACTTCATGCAATTCCGGAGCACTGATCAGCACAGTTTTGTACATGCCCCAACATACTGTCATGTTTACCAAAAAAAGAATAGTCACAGCGTTAAATGCAAAGAAGTAGGATACAATGTTCCTAAACAAGAACAAAACTGTATTCAGTCCAGTATTCCGCTGCTTTCAGCAAACGAAAATGGAAAATGGCTTTACGGAAAAGAAACATGCCGTAATCTGATTTTTGACGTAAGTTCACTGTTCATACCTGCTGCAGATCGCATTAAAATAATTGTAACAACTTCTAAGATTAAAAGATCCGCGCTTAGTGATAATTCGGGCTATGAGTAAAAAAATAATGCACAATGATGCAGCTCTCGACATTCGAATATTACAACACTAACAGAATTTCAATGTAAAGTCGACCCTAACAAACATGCTTACGAAAGGTCCGAGTTGAGGTTTTACTGTCAGATTATGAATCTCGCGCTATCCTCGCATCTCTGCCTTTGCCACTGTGCGTCGTGACATGCCTTTCGATTTAATTTAAATTTTTCGTAAACGAATTTATCCAATCCGACAATCTAAACGAAACCGACAAGTGCGCTGATGTTTGGGTCTATAATTTTTCATAGAAAGCCCATTTTTTGCTATGAACCCAGTATTTTTTCGGGGGGTAAAAAAAAAAAAAAAAGAGCGAGGGAGAAACGATTTAAAACATCAGGCTTTTCAGACATCATTCTAAGATCATTTTGTTATGAAGGCACTCCGTAATACAAACAATGCGATGACGTAAGGTATTATACATTACAAAATTATAAGATTATTCCTAATGTCCGGATCGATATGCAAATATGGAAGAATGAACATTTCTCGGGATATCGTAGATCGGGAAAAAGGCGGAAAAACAATTAGCACTTTTTTTGGAAGGCTCCCCACCACTCCCCGCGACCGCTAGATTTTTGGGACGACAACGTGATTTTGCCATTTAGAAAGATTATTAGCAACGAATAACAATAGGTTTTGCATTTTAGCACGAAAGAGCCTACCAAAATCTATATCAGAAGCCGTATGTATCAGGGTATTCTCTTCGTAGGGAACGTATGTTACTCAAGTTACATAACTCAATATTGAATGTAAACAACAGGGGGGGGAATTAGAATGTTAAAAATGATAGCTTTTGTTATACAGATAAACTGTTTTAGTTAAAATAATTTCCCCTTTTAATTTAACATACTAATATTAATCACGAAAGAGCTTTGAGTAATAGAGTGCACAAATCCAATATAAACACGAGTTTGAGTAAGTACGGTTGTATACAGTGTTTGGTGAATTATTTCATATATAGATTCATAAAAATTATATCATTCACTTAAGCTTTCTGTTATCTTTGAATTATGTTTTACTACTTCAGCTCGACCGCTGCCTTGCAAAAGATTTTAAAATACAAAACACCCATAACCGAAAAATTACTTTCACTGTTTTTGAGTGAGAAGATAGGCAGTACAACACGACGCTCCGAGTCGCGCGACTTTATACGCTTTAAAGCTGGCAACAGTGCTATGAACTCGCTTTGATACTGGAAAGATCTAAAATTTCGTATAAAGTCTTCCCTTCCCTTTTCAGCTAGGATCCTATTTGTTGCTCAATTTATCAAAAAATTTAAGTTCAAAAATCTTTTCTCCCTCAAGTGGTGCCATAATAGATATGTTAATTCAAAAGATGTTATGAACCAATATACGCCCATTAATTAATTGCCTATATGGTGGATTCTCGGGTTGTCACGCGATTTTAATGGAACTCGCCTTGATATGAGACTTATATATATATATAGATATAATAGTATATATATATATAATATATATAGTATATATAGAGATAGTGTGTGTAATTACGGTAATGTAATTAAAAAACATTATAAATAATCAGGTTGAGCAATAACGGAAATACTAATTTATAAAACGTTGAATTGATACTTACGCAACTGCTCGGTCAGCGACAGTAGGCGCAGCGCGTAAGTCCTCATAATCTTAAGGTCGTGAGTGCTGATCCTCTACCGGGCGCGTGTTTTTTAATCTATTTTAAATAATTGAATTTATCGACTAATTTATATTCGACAATTCAGAAATGCATTATAAAGGTTAAAGTCGACGACTATAAAATTATACTTCGCCAGTCTAGTTGCAGTTGCGCTCCTGGATGTATTTTACTTGTAAAGATAAGTTCATTCGATTACTTGAAATCAAACTGTTAAGTGAGAATAATCCGTCCAGGAAAAAATCCTAGATAATAATCCGTCCTTTACCAAGTATTCGTTTTTAACAACTAATTAGTTAATTCAAGGTCAAATTCGTACGAAGTTATTATAACGTTAGGTTAACCTCAAAAGTGGGCGGTCCAAAACTGTCAGCTGACGGCAATGGTGTCGCGTCCAGTCGCCACGGAGTGGAATACGCATTGGAAAAGTATATTTAAATTGAATAACGTTGGGCAACGGTTTTGGAACTTAATATAACATTTTACGTTTAACCAATGAACATTCTTTCCTTCCAACGTCTTTGTTTTATTTATTATCATCACTCAGTGCAAGTTTTATATAATCAAAAAAGGAAGTTTGTATCAAGTTCTCCTTGTTTGTGAGACAGATTAATCACCTTTCCCTGGTCTTCTTCTGTCAGTCTAAGAATAGCCTCGATACTCTTGTACACTAAAAAACTAATTTGGTGCTTGTGTTCCAATGACATAAGCTATCTATGAATCGCTCCATGTAAAAATGCCATCGTAACAATAGGATCTTCTCTGCGCTATCAGAAGAAGATAGTTAGATCGTCACGCAGTTTTCTCCCATTCTCGTTAATGGAGTTATAATGTAAAGGTGACGAACAGGTGGGAAATCCACACGTTCCGGCTTTTCCAGTTACTTCTGTCCAAAAGATGAACAAAATGCGTCCAATTGGTGGAGTACTTCCTAAATTGTAGAGCTTGTAGAAGTATAGTTGTTCTGCAATAAGTAAAGCAACTAACTTTAGTATGTTTGACTAATGTAACACACTTTGAACAGTCACAGAAAATGGATAATGGATAAGACCCCCAAAATTATTAACATCGGCTAGCTCTTTGTTTTGTCGGCTCTTTTTTCTTTCATCGCTTCTACATCTTTTCTTTCTAAACGCGGTTTTGAGACTGGTGTCCAGGTTGGGACAACTCCTCTGGAGGGCCTTTTCATATTCGCTGCAAGTCACACATTGATCTTTCTTTGGTTTGGAACAGGAAAAACTATCATCCATACGGAGATTGTCTGTACCTACGTAATAGAGGGTTACTGTTGCCTATTATTTATTTGCGAATCTTCTTTACCATTGTATATTGACAAGTGATCCAGGATCCCAGGTGTTATAAATGCAGACAGTGTATTTGATTTCAATTTCCATTTCATAATAATGGATAATATTGAGTATTTCTAGCACATGTAATATGTTATTTTACTAACCTTAGAATTCAACATTTTTATTTCAAAAGCGTAATATATAATAATACTATATTGCTCACCGGTCTCAAATGTTTTTAACGATGGCTAGACGATTGTCAAGTAATCTGTATCATAAGTCAGGTTTTTGCTTTAAATTCTGGAACATCAACTGACTGTAGTAACTACCACTCCATAAAGCGAGGAAGAAAAAATACCTGCAAGCTGAAACTTATACTAAATCCTTTTCAACAGTAGTTTTTCTTTTTATAATGAGTAATGTCCTCGATCAACGATATTTCATTGGCAAGGTACAGTCAGGTACCTAGTGTCAGTGTGATATGTGTATGAGTGGATTAATTGTCTTGATATCTAGCACAGTCGACGACATTGTGCTTTGCGATACGAGACGCTAATTGTATCCGATAGTCTGCGCACCGTGCAAGTGATACCGGATGCCACATGGATAGAAATTATGTTTCAATTTATTAATTTTTAATAAACAAAAATTTCCCTACCCAGATGGGATTCATAAACTCCCGACCTTTAGGTTAAAGGTAAGCGCGCTACTTTCAACTGGGACCGACAGAGGGGGTTCAACAGACGATTTAAAGCCAAATTTATCCAGTAAAATCCAGAAAGTTAGGCATGCTTCATTACTTCAATCTTAGCTTCAACATATTTTTCCACGGAAAGTTTGACATTTGTCTATAACTCGAAACGTAGGTACATATTTTTTATATGCACCTTATATCATAACAATTTCTGAAACCCATTTTGTAAAGCATTTTCATATAAGGATAAAAAAAATTGATTGAGTATCAAGACACTCCAAAATTGCTATTCATAACGAAAATGAACAACATGTGTTGGTAGACGTAAAATAAGTTCCAACACTTTTTTCTGTAGAAATGAGATCATAAAACATGTTGCATTTAAATGGACGGCCTCAGTGCAAAAGGAAACAAGTCAAATTACTGTGATTGTGAGTCAACGAAAAAAAACGAGCTTGGATTTTTTTTCGATATAATTTTTCATATTTTTTTACGAAAGATGATACAAAAATTAGCTATTAATTAGAAGTGTAAAAAATTGTTATAGCGAACTATTCAATTTAGTGACAACTTTCTTGGGACTTGATACAAAACGCACACAATAATTCTTACTTGTTACCAATTACGCAGGACTTACTTCGCTACGATTTCTTTTTTTTTTTTAGCAGCTTCAAGGCACAAAAAATACGTGAAAGTTTATTACAACAACGTTATTACATAATAAATTAGGATAGCTACACGGCTACATGTCTATTATTATAAAAAAAAAAAAGGTAAAATAACAAACAAATGCTTAGTCCTCTTCGTCACTTAGTAAGGATCGGAGCAAAAACACCTTGGGTGGTAGATGTGAATGTAAACTTTATGATACACCGGCGAGAGGTACAGAAATAGCTTGACAAAATGTCGCTTTTTTCCTTCCAATTTTTGAATAATGACAGTGGTTGTTGGTAAAGCTGTTTTTTTGTACATTGATTACTATGCATGTTTTGCAACAGGTTTTTTGACGGTGCATGAGTGCTGGACAAAATCGACAGGGCAAATAGTGTTGTCTAATTGGTTGTGCGTCCATGGAACAAACAGATGAAGCAAATTAGCGTACCTCGCTTTTCGCGTATTCTATACCCAGGAAAACATGAAGCAACTAGTGTTTTCATGTTGCACAGTGTTCAGATTAAATGTTCATAATTGTCGTCGTACAGACGGCCTGATGATTTGCACAATGTGAACGTTCCCAAGCACGCTTGTAAATCAAAGCCAATGAAAATATAGTTTGGGTTATTTCTGACCTATGCTGCTTGTCTGACAACTTCGTTGCATAATTTACTATAAGCTTTCATGTGATGATTCTTCCACCTTGACCAGACACAAGTCCTTCTCCATAGCCTTGAGAGTATGGACAAATTTAGTTTAGTTTCGTCACGTGGTATGAGAAAGTACTCCGTCGGAAATTTATGTATGATTCCGAGCTACGAAAGGCTTTGCCATAATAGATTAACTGACTGGGTCTATCGACTTCTTGTGTTGAGTATTTACTGTAAACTTGCGGCGCGTAGTGAGGAGGAAAGATTTTTAAGTAGTCCTCTTTGATCGACAGATAATGACTCGCATAGTGCTGAAGAGATGTCAAGCTAATTGCACCCAAAGCCATTCGTGCTGGTGATATATTTATTTTCCAAAGATGTGGTTGCCTCGTTCATCACTGGGGGGTTGTTGAGCATGGATAAGCCTTTTTTATGTTAGATAGCAATGGTCCATTACTATCTGTCTCGCCAAATAGTTGTGAGAAAAACAGCTCTACAGACCTCGATTCTTTGGGCCAGACAATCGGAATATTGTAATGAAACTAACGTCGTTCTTGTGACGGGCGTTGTGAGCCGTATTTTGTTCGCGGCCGTATTACCGGGTTTCAGATTATCATCTTTACTTAAGAGACCGCACAGATAGTGCGCCCTTTCGCGTCGTAACGTGTCTTGTGAAAGTTCCAATAGGCAGGAAAATTATATTTGTTGATTTTGAAAGTGAAATTTTCCCACTGCACATTGTTTTCTACAAGAAGGCTGTGGTAGCTAATTCGGTCCAGCAACTTCATACCTTGGCCCGTAAATACGCAATCCTGATTTCGGATAACTTTTTTTTTCTTTCTTCTCTAGTATCACCTTTTGAGCGCTCTTTTTAACATTTTTTTGATGGTTGATTTTGTCTCTTACATTTATTAGATCAATGTAGATCTAAGGAAGTAAGACTTAGCCTCAAAATAGACCTTCAACAATACGTAACTTTGCATTGCACCAAGCACATGTCCATAGCACACTCCCACCAAGGTTGAATTATTCTATACACATGTTATTGAGGACAGGGTTGCCACGAGTTGTAGTTTCTTAAACAAGGACGGACAAAAGATACACAATCCAAACCAAAATGTACTGTTACTAACTGGAAACATGACATCCAGGCATGTTTGGTGAATTCAAATACTGTAAAGGAGGTAACAACGCACTTATATTTCCTTATGCACAGAATGAAGTTTTTCATATTATTTCACTTATTAAGTTCTATACGTAAAAAATGTAGCCTTTCAGTTGGTAGTTAGACTTGTTTCTTTTTGCACAGAGTTAGACATTGGTAAACCAATTATTATCACATGAGAAAAAAAAATCCGAAAAATAACTTGTTACCTTTTGCACTGAGACCGTCCAATTTATTTCAGTATAGTACTTCAATATGAAAATCTTAGGTTCAACTCCTCTTAACTTCTAAAGTTACAAGGAGAAAAATTAATCTAGAAAGAAGTAAATTATCTTGACTTAAAAATGACACGGTTTAATGATGCTCCTGAAAAATTCAGTTTAAAAATACAATTTTTTCTACTTCAGTTTAGGTATAACCTAAAGAACACACACATTTTTTTAAAGTGATATATGGTTGAATGCTCGAATAAATAAATTTTAATAAAATAAATGGCAGTTTCTTCGCATCTTCAAGAGTATTCAGGTGACCAAAACTTGAAGAGTTTGGTCTTTTCAAATGTTCTGTAATTCTAGTAGATAACTTCGAATGGTTTGCATCACAATCATATACTTTTGTAGAGTGTTCCCTATTTTTGATCTTATTAAAAAGGACTAAAGTGTTGTAGACTTGAAGGATTTTGATTGTCTTTAATTGTAGAAGTAAAAAAGTTTTGATATATTTTTGGAAATGTTGCTGATATAAGTTTTTTGTGAATATTATACTCTATAGAATCCTTTTTACGGATCTGTAAGGATCATCTTGGGTTCCCTGTATGAGAGCTATACAATCATCAACATATTTTGACCAAAAAACTATTTTGTTGTTGTTATTTCTGTTCTAAGCTGTCTAAGAAAATATTAGCTAAAAGAGGTGATAACAGAGAACCCCAATCCTACACCTGTTGGTTGTTTATATATTTTTTGATTAAATTGGACGAAGTCCTGATCAAGAAAAAATTGAAGCATAGTTAAGATGCATCTTTGTCTTTTGCTGATATGTTGCAATTGTTTAAAAGGTCGTATACTAAAGGTAGTTTTAAGTTTCATCACTTGGAACAGAAGTAAACAAGTTGGAAAAATCAAAAGAAACTAATAAAAACTCTCTTCTATTGCATGTTATTTAAACGTTCTATTAGATCAAAGAATTTGTAATGGAGGACTTAGGTTTAAAATTAGTGATAGACTGAATTGTGTTGTAAATAAACTCTGATAATATAGAAACTGGATTTTAGGAAGTCCGTATAACTTAGGTTTTATAGGATTAGATATAGTTAACTTTCTGTTAATCTTTATCTGTTCTGTTATCTTTAGTAATAGTATCTATAAACAAATTTAACCATTGCTTTTGCCTTATTAATAAAGGTGTTGGGTAACTGATTTTTTTTTCCAAAATTACAAAACTGTTTTCTAAAAGGAACGATTCTACTTTATGTATTGAATTTGTTCTAGGATTACAACATATTTTATTATCAGCCTTGCTAAATACTAGAGAATCTCTATGGATTTTTTGTTTAATTAATTTTAGCAAATAGTTTTGTTTTTTAAAAGAATGCTGATTTTTTACCTTTGTAAATTGTGCCCGATATCTGCCTTTTATTTGATTAAAGTACAAATTGTTTTGTTAAAATATTATTTAAATTACAATATGAATAATTATTATGAAAAGAAAAGAACGAAATACTATACTATTTTATAAATATTCTTTATATAGTTACAAACCAACAAACAATACAATTTATCATTGTCTTATTCCCCTTTTCCAACAAAATTAACT